GTGTAGGATGTACAGGATTTGTGGGATGTGTAGGATGTGCAAGATGTTTGGGATGTGTGGGGTCTGTAGGATGTTTAGGGATGTTTAGGGATGTGTGGGATTTGTAGGATGTGCAATATGTGTGGGATGTGTAGGATGCTTAGGGATGTGTAGGATATGTGGGATGTGTGGGATGTGAGGGCTGTGTCTCTCCAGATGGGTTCTGAGCAGGGTGAATCCCAATCCCACACGAGCAGGGGCTCAGGAGCCCTGCCCTGGGCGCTCAGAAGCCGAGCTGAGATATTGGGCTGAAAAAAGCCATATAAATGCAAAGAGGCTTTTTATTGCTCGCCGTGGCTTTGCCTTGTTAACTCGCTGTGACGAGGATGTGACAGGGGTTCTGATCTCAGGTCCTGCCTGCCTTTGCTCCCTCCAAGCTGTTGCTGCCATTTTTTGTTGTTCTTTTTTTATTTTTTTCATTTTTTTCCCCTTCAAAGGTGGAATTATTTTCCACACAATAAGTGTTTCTAATGGCGTTTGAATTCCAGCATGAAAAATCACCTCGCTGGAGGCTCCTGCAAAAAACCCTGAAGTGCTTCCCATTCTGTGTCTGGAGGTGTGAAGGATACTTTAAGTAATCCATTACTCCTTTCTAGCTCATTTACAAACGCAGCAAGGTCACAGCCCTTCTCCCAAAATGTTTCAAATTGTTGAAATTGAATTTGGGAGACGAGACAAAACACTTCTGCCGTGTTTGTCTGTTCTTTCCGTGGCTGGGTCTGTTGTGGGGTTTATTTCTGGCAGTGTAATGTGAATAAAAGTGTGGGATTTTCTTGGAGCAACCTGCACTAGTGGGAGGTGTCCCTGCCCATGGCAGGGGGGTGGGATTAGACAATCTTGAAAGTCCCTTCCCACCCCAACCATTGCATGGTTTTGTGATTCCCATCACGGGAAGGTCCCTGCAGTTCCACCACTGACACACTTCATCTTCTGGAGGAGCCTCTCTGACCTTGATACTTGGCATAAATCCTATTTTTTCCAGGTATGAATTCCTTCTGGAACACGCTTGTTTTCGAGTCCTCACAGCTCCAGCTCTTGCTGCTCTTGCTCTCTATTTAAAGGTCAACACTGTTCTAATAAAACACCTCTCGGAGCTGCCAGGCTGCTCCTGCTGCTGCTCCCACATTCCCGAGGCACAGGAGTCCCACATCCTCCCTGCCTGGCTCTGTGCTGGGCCTTGTCCCACACCCTGGCCTCAGGTTTTTTTATCTGTTGTGTTCATAACATGATTTTCCGTGGGATTTCCCCCCTCCCTGATCTGCTCCTGGCGGGAATCGCGGCGGGCTCGGGGAGAGCCGTGGGGACGCCGGGAGTGAAACCACCTCTTCTCCTCCTCCCCTGCAGGTGTGTTCTTCACCTTCCACACCTTCCACCTGGAGAATGGGCACGACTACCTCCTCATCACCGAGAACACCAGCTTTGCCCAGCCCCTGCAGCAGCTGACGGGCTCCCGGCTGCCGACCCCGCTCAGCGCGGGGCTCTTCGGCAACTTCTCCGCCCAAATCCGCTTCATCTCCGACTTCTCCATGTCCTACGAGGGCTTCAACATCACCTTCTCGGGTAAGAGCAGTGCTGGGGTGAAGAGTTAATTCTGTCCCTTCCCGCTTTGCTGCAAATCACAGGATCACGGGATGGTTTGGGCTGGGAAGGGCCTTAAAGGTTCTCTGCTTCCAACCCGGCGATGGAGCAGCCACAGCTTCTCTGGGCAACTTGTGCCAGGGCCTCCCCACCCTCCCTTTCTCATTATCATCTCTCTATTCCAGGTATTGCCTTTTAGGGGACAAGGAGGAGAGGGGAGAAAGGGTGAAAGCCTGGGATAAAATCTGGAAAAGCAGAGATGGAGGGAGATTTTTTAAAACTGGAACTTACTGCTCTTGGGCAGCCACGTGGGGTTTTTGGGCTGTGGTTCCTCAGCAGCATCATCCTGTGCCACGAGCCATCCCCCAGTGGAGTTTCCTTTCAGTGGAGGAGTTTTCTTTCAATGGAAAACACACTGATGCCCATTTTGCCCTTGGCCATTTTGTTTTCATTCCCTCTCCAAAGAGTTCCATGAATAATGTGATATTTGTTCTCCGCTTCCAGCCTGGCCTTGGACCCTTCCAAGGGATGGGGCAGCCACAGCTTCTCTGGGCAACCCATGCCAGGGCCTCCCCACCCTCACAGGGAAGGATTTCTTCCTGGTATCCCACCCAAATCTCCCCTTTTCTAATATGAATCAATTCCCACTTGTCCTGTCCTTCCAGGCCCTTGTCCAAAATCCCCTTTAGGCACTGGAAGGGGCTCCAAGGTTTCTCTGGAGCATCTTTTCTCCAGGTTGGACACCCCCAGCCCTCCCAGCCTGGCTCTGGAGCAGAGGCACATCCAGGACAGGCTGCTGGTCACTGCCTGAGCATCCAAGTGGAGCAACGAACCAGATGGATGATGGGAGTGACCAGCTCTGCCCTGCTCCTTGTCCAAGAAGTCCAGATTGCTCAGCATTGCCCTCCAAAAGATCCCATCTGTCCCAGCTTGCCCTGCTGGAGAGGCTGTACCTGCTGCAGTGATTTTCCTCTGATAACCAGAGCAGGCTTGGGGGGGAAAGAGGGACAGCACAGCCCAGGGAGCTGGAACTGTGTCCAGAAGCAGAGAGGGGAAGATGAGGGTGAGGAGGGAGAAAGCAATGAACACACCTGCAGAGGGATTTAATTCCAGATTTAATTCCAGATTTAATTCCCCCTTGTAAATGCTCCCTGTGAGGTGATCTCTGGCTGAAGGGCACACGGTGCTTGACTGTGTCCTCCAACCTGAAGTCCTGCAGGGGACTCTCAAGTGTTTTTGCCTGTGCACACATTCCAGGGGAATGTCAATCTTTGCTGCCTGAGTGCCCTGACAAGCCATTCCCCAAAACAATCAGTTAAGGGACACAAGTTTATTGCCTGGGTGCTGTTCTTTAATGCAGCTCCGTGTCCTTCCGAGGCCCGAAGCCACAGCTGCGAATTCAGCACTTGGGGGGGTGGGAGAGAAATGCCCATTTTTATTGTGGATCTCTGTGCTGACACACTCACTGAGGGACAGAGCTGTTGCCATAGATGCAGATAAAAAACCTGGTTTCCAGTGCCTTTGTTCTGGCCTCTGAAGTCAGGGGATTTGCATGTGATACTCCTGTGGAAACCAGTCAGAGAATTTCCAATTAACTTTCATTTTGATGAGGGGGAAAAAATGGCTTTTTGCCTTTCAAAAAGATCGCCTCTAATTATAACTCTGATTTTCAATGTATTTGGAGGCCGCTTTCCTATCTTGGAAAGCAAAAATGGGAGCCAGTTATATTTTTAGCTCCCTTTACATGCATATATATATATATATATTTATGTGCAGACTTTATACTTTGCAGGTCTGTTATTTTTTCATAAAAACAACCCTCCAGAGAGGTTTGCTCTGACGTGTTTTGTGGTCCAAGACCCTGCTGTTGGCTCTCAGCCGAGATCCTACGTGACCTTTCTTTCAGCAGCAGCTCAAGTGTTTTCTCCTGCACTCCCCAAACAAGATGCTGCATCCATTCATTTCCAGGATTAGTAATGGAGAGGCAGCAGGAATCCCATAGGGATCAATCCATCTTCGTCTGGCTGGAGCAGAGGGAGGATGACAAATCTCCTTCGTGCTTTGTCACCACCAGTGTCACCTGGCTGCTTGTGTGATGGTTTGAGACCCCCAGAAATCCAATTTCTGAGTCCAAACCCCCCTCCCACAACTCACTCCAGTGTGAGAGGGGTTTTCCAGACACAACACAAGACTGGGGGGAAGGGAATTATATTACAATTATTACACAAATAAATATTATAATACATTACATACACAATCCTGACTATCTCTCCTATGGTAAAGCAATATTTACATTGGATCAAATCTCTTTTCCCTCCAATAAAAGTCCAGAAGGGAAGAAGGAAAGATCCTTTCCACTTTCAGAGCAGCAGTGTCTCTCTCCTTCCATGCTGGAGTTGTAGCTGGATCTGTCTCTCCATTCCACAGGGACAGGGGATGGAACCTGCTGTGTTTTCGGGGAGGGGTTATAAATCGAGGTGATGCCCCTGGGGGGGGTTGAATGTGGAGAGTGAGATCCAGGTCAAACAGGTCATCCATCCTCATGGATCCTGAGCTTCACAAAGCTCTGGAATCAGAACTTCCCTGCAGCTGGAATCAACCCTTGGAGCTCGGGGTGAGGATGGAACGTGAAGCATCACCCACCATCCCATAATATCTGTCTGTCCCCTTCCAGAGTACGACCTGGAGCCCTGTGACGAGCCAGAGGTGCCGGCCTACAGCATCAGGAAGGGGCTGCAGTTCGGGGTGGGGGACGTGCTCACCTTCTCCTGCTTCCCGGGATACCGGCTGGAAGGAGCCTCCCGGATCACCTGCCTCGGGGGGAGGCGGCGGGTGTGGAGTTCGCCTCTGCCAAGGTGTGTTGGTAGGTGGTCATGTGCTTTCATTTTGCTTGGTTGGTCCCGCTGTGCTGGCTGGTTGTAGGTGGGCAGGGGATGGGTGGTGGCATCCCCTGGGATGGGTGGTGTCCCTCGGGATGGGTGACATCCCTCGGGATGGGTGATGTCCCCTGGGATGGGTGATGTCCCCCGGGATGGTGCCGCTCCGCTCACGGGGGGGGTCGGTGCAGGGATGGGGAGAGGGAGCTGGGATGAGCTGGGATGAGCTTTCAGCCCTGCAAGTCCTTTTTTAGCCCCTCCACAACAAATAAACAAATCTGAGGCTGGAGGAGAGGGAGGATTCCTCTGCAGCACCGAGCTGGCTCCTGGCTGTCCTCCCCCGGGGGCAGATGGGGTACAGAGACCCTTCTGGGGAGCACCCCCTGCCCAACCCACAGCACCTGGTAAAGGAATAGAAGTCCAGCTTCTATTGCAGAAAGGCAGGAGGATGCTCCAGGCCTTGGCAAAAAGGTGGAACACGGTTTTTTTTGTTGTACAGTTGAAGCAGGAGGTTGTTCAGAGCTCTGGGATGAGGGATTTATCCAGAGCAGGCAGGGCAGGTCTCTCACCTGTTTGCAGAGCCTGCCAGGGCCATTGTCCTGGGCTGTGGGTGACCTTTGAGGGCCCTTGCAGAGCAGACATCCCCTCCAGGGCCAGCCTGGGCTCTGCTCTCAGTCCTGTGGTGCTGAATGCAATTCCCGGCACTGCGGAATGCTGAGGTCACGGGGCTGCATCATCCTGCTGTGCCAGGCAGCTCTTCAGGGCATGAATAATAACCAGGCTGCAGATAAAGCTAATCAGGGGAACGGGAATCAAACAGAATCATTTACAAAGCTTTTCAAGCCCATCCTCGGAGCTCAGCCCTGCGTGGACACGGTGGCTGCCATTTCCCAGCTGCAGCTGGCTCAGAAGGGTTTGTGGTGACAGGTTGGGCTCGGTGGTGATGGCCCAGAGCTCTGGGCAGGGTGACAGCCCTGTCACAGTGTCCCCAGCTCGTGTCACAGCAGCCCCAGCTCAGATCTCTGCGCTCGCCCCGGCGTGGAGATGGAAACTGGAGACTTGCTCGTTAAGATCACAGGAGATTTATTTGCTTTTTCCAGACACTCTGTATTCACTTCCTGTTCTGGAGATGGTGGGGAGAGAACTGAGAGTGTTTTGTTCCTTTGTCCAGCCCCGCTGTCCAGGGCAGGAACTCTCCACACCAGCAGATCCCGGGTGCTGATGTGTCCAGCACCATCCCTGGGGAATCTGTACCAAAATGAGGGCCCTGCTTTTTGTGCATGGCAAGAGAGGAGGAGAAAGTCACCTCCAAAGTGCCTCCTCTGGGTGTATCTGCTGCTGCTGCTTTGACCCTTCCTTGGGAGAGCAGCAGAGGCAGTGCAGGTTCCCCGTGGGGAGGTTGTGAGGCAGAGATTGTGTCCTCAAAGCTTGTAGTTAAAACATGAAATACAGAGGTGAGGGGTGGTTATTTTCCAGCAGCATTAAATTGTCGTCTCCTGGCATCCAGGACAGGTTGGAGCCTCCAAAGCTGCCACCTCTTCCTTCTCTAAATGGCATCATTCTGCCCAGCTTTGAGTCCCACAAACCTTCTAACTTCAAATTTGGCTCCAAGTCAGATGCTGTTGATTGTGCTCAGAGTGGAGGAGGAGGCAGGTCTGGAGAAGGAGGGGAGAACTCTGACCAGGAAAATGTGATGGAACAGGGACAGACAAGAAGGAAGAGCCTCTTTCCTTCTTCCTGGGTGCAGGAAGGAGTGAGGAACTGTGGCCTTTGGAGGAATCACGTGCATGTGTGGCATGGCCAGAAGGTCCACGTGGTTATTAAAATGTGCTTTTGTGTCTTGATGCAGCTGAATGTGGCTCCTCTGTCACTGGAACCCAGGGTGTGCTGCTGTCCCCCAACTACCCCCTCAACTACAACAACAACCACGAGTGCATCTACTCCATCCAGACCCAGCCAGGGAAGGGGATCCAGCTGAAAGCCAGGACCTTTGAGCTGGAGGCAGGAGATGTCCTCAAGGTAATTCAGTGAAGCTGCCCCTGAGAGCAAGGTCTGAAAGGGAAGGGATGTTCTCTTTAATGGAATTAGGTGGGACTGACCTGGAAAATGCCACCCAGGCCCAGACAGGGTGATGATCCCTGGGACAGACTCGTAGCAGGAGTGCTGACAAGCAGTCACTGCTGTGACATGAAGTGATTGCCACAGCACTCTGGAAGACAGCAGCAAAATCCCCACGGACCCTCTAAACTTCAGTTCTTCCCTGCATAATTGCACAGGAAAAACTGGGGGAAGCTGGAGGTTTTTAGCTTTATTTTAGTACTTTTAAGAATCAAGGCTGATTTGTCCCGAGAAGGGGGTTATTTAAATGCAGAGCTCCAGACTCTTCAGCGTTGCCATAATCAGATTAATCTGCATTTACAAGCTTCAGGACTCCATGGAGGAGGAGACAAATCCAGGCTGAGTTTCTATTAAGCACAAAGCAATGGGTTTGAAGGAGGCATTAATATCACTGATGCTGAGCCATCTTCCAGGAACGCCTCTGTCCTTACTGAAGTGCCATATTCCTGCACTCCAAGAGAGCTGTAATCCACATATTTTTCAGCTCACAGATGACTGGAAAGAGAGAAAGATTTCCAGTTAATGCAGAGAATATACTCGTTGTCAAAGGAATTATGTTCCCTCGCCAGGTTTGTCATCAACTTCTCATCTGCTTCCCGGGAAAGTTCCCATCGATCTCCACGAGTGAGGAGCTGCTCTTTGTCCTCACGGAGAATCCTGCTGCCTGAAAGAAAGGAAAAACCCCATTTGGGGTTTTTTTCTTAACTAATAGCAGGTTCAGGGCTCATCTGTGAGTCAGTCTGGGGAGAAAATGTTTTTCTCAGGAGATGGTTCTTTGGAAAGAGAGATGAATTCAGGAGACACTCAGCCCTGAGCACGGAGTGAGCTCCGTGTAAGGAGGAGGAGGTGGATCCTCCAGGGTGTAAATCCTGCTCCTCGTGGAGTCCATCAGGACAGACTCTTATTTCACTTCAAAGGCTCTGTCCCTGTTTGCACTTGTGGATCAGGGAGTGCTTTGGGTTGGAAAGGACCTTAAAAACAACTTTTTCCACCCCCTGCCCTGGGCAGGGACACCTTCCACCATCCCAGGCTGCTCCAACCTGGCCTTGGGCACTTCCAGGGGTGGGGCAGCCACATCCTCTGGGCAGTGCTGGTTTGGTCCCTGAAGCAGTGATTCAAAGCAGGTTTTCAGTCGGTGTTTCTGGTCCCTCCCAGGTCTATGATGGCACCAACAGCTCTGCCCGGCTGCTGGGCACCTTCAGCCGCTCAGACATGCTGGGCACCAGCATCAACAGCACCTCCAGCTCCATGTGGCTGGAGTTCATCACCAACTCTGCCAACACCAGCAAAGGCTTTGAGCTGCAGTTTTCCAGTGAGTTTGAAGCCCACGTGCTCGTGTGGTGGGGTGAAGGGGTGTTCCTGTGTTGCAGTTGCATGATCAGGGCAAAGAGCCCTTTCCATAAAGATTTTATGCCCTGAGAGGAATTGGAGTGTGGGAGATCACAGAATCCCAGAATCACTGAGGTTGGAAAAGCCTTCCCAGTCCATGGATCCACCCTGTGCCCCATCCCCACCTTGTCACTGAGTGCCACCTCCAGGCCTTCCTTGGGCACCTCCAGGGCTGGGGACTCCAAACCTCCCTGGGCAGCCCCTGCCAATGCCTGACCACCCTTTCCATGAGGAAATTCCTCCTGGTGTCCAACCTGACCCTTGCACAACCATTCCCTCTCCTCCTGTCCCTTGTTCCCTGGGAGATGATTGAACCTTTTCTGTGGCCATACAGAAATTTTGGATTTAAACCCGAGCCACCAGATTTCTGGGACCTCACTCAAACATGAATTAAAAAAAACCACTGATTTTCAATATGCTGCCTTTGGGGCTGTGTTAACATCTCCTGGCTGGGAAATACCTGCCACAAACAGCTGCCCTTCCTCCCCCTGCAGGTTTCGAGCTCATCAAGTGTGAGGACCCCGGGGTGCCCCAGTTTGGGTACAAGGTGCACGACGAGGGACACTTTGCTGGCAGCTCCGTGTCCTTCAGCTGTGACCCCGGGTACACCCTGAGGGGCAGCAGGGTCCTGGGCTGCCTGACTGGGGAGAGGAGAGCGTGGGACCAGCCCCTGCCAACCTGTGTAGGTGAGGCACCTCTGGCTCTTCAAACTGAGCATCACCTCAATACCCACCTTTTGTCCCTGCTTTGCTACCACATATGACATTAACTCTGATATTAATGCATTAATTAGAGGATCCTGTGTGAGGCATCTTCAGGCTGAGAGCCCTCCAAGCAGTTTTAACATGAAACATTCCTTTTTTGGGTTTTATTTTGGCACTGCTGCTTTTCCACTCCTTGTCTTTTCACTTAAACTGAGTGGCACCTTCTGATAATGACAGACATCAACGTGTGTCCAGGCACTGCCAGCTCAGAGTCAGGCCTGTTTGAGAGCTGCTTCTCATCTGATCCCACTCTCAGACATTTTAATTCCCCCCCTGAGTTCCCTTTTACCTGAGATCTTCTTGCTTGGAAAATTGTGGTATTATTGGGTGTCCAAATGAAGGGCTGTTGCTCTGGGATTTGACAGCTCCATCATTAGCTGTGTGTCCAGGACGTGGGGAAGTTCTTGCACTCTCTCCAGGCAACTCCACAACTGCCCCTGTGGCTGTGATGTGCCAGACACTGCCACTGTTCTCCCCTGAGTCAGGCTCACTGCTGCAGTAACTCTTTGCTGAATTTTAGCCTTGATTATTGAGGTAAAAAGACAAATTTCTGTGATTTGTGTGTCTTCTTAACCTTCACCCTGTTTGCTCTACATTTATTGTGTATGAGGCCGTGTCTGAGTTTCTTAAGAAAACTTAAAGGAATGAAAGTTAAAGAATTTTAGTGGGTATGTTACAGAAATGACTCAAAATCCTCACATTCTTTTGGAGTTCATTTACACAGACACGTGTTGGGCTTCTTTGTTGTCCCACACTGATGAACACAAGCAGAAGACTTGAGCTGTCTCATCCCACACGAGTGGACTGGGGGAACAGTCTTCTGTGGGATGCTCCCCACAGTCAGAAAGGTGGAGGGAAGCTCTGACAGCCCATCAGGTCTGCACAGAAATGCAGAATTATTCTGCCAGCTCAATCTTTTCTCTGAATTAACTCCCTTTATCTTTGCTCTGGAGGCTTTAAGAATCCCTGGGAAGGGCAGGAAATGCTCCCAGTTGTATTTGTAGGCTGAGATTTGTGTTGTTGCCCTGAATCTGCCCCCTGACCCCTGTGTCTGTTCCAGCTGAGTGTGGAGGGACCATCAAAGGAGAGGCCTCGGGGCGGATCCTGTCCCCGGGTTACCCGACCCCCTACGACCACAACCTCAACTGCATCTGGAGCATCGAGGCAGAGCCTGGCTGCACCATAGGGTGAGTGGGACCAGCTCCCTGCAGCTTGGCTCTCTTTGGAGTTGATTTTTCCAGATCCACAGTTCCATAGAGCAAGTTGGGAAAATGTCCCGTGGCTCGGAGGGAAGGATGGAGCCCCTGGTGCAGCTCCGTGCCAGAGTCAGGGATGGTTTGGGTTGGAAGGGACCTTAAAAATCATCCAGTTCCAAACAGGGACACCTTCCACTAGCCCAGGTTGCTCAGAGGCCCTGAGTGGCATCACTGCTCCTTTCTTTTCCCATCTCCTGGGAGAAGTGTGGTGTCCTGGGTGGTGACACAGCTCCATGTGCTGCTGCTGCTGCTGCCTGGGGTGTTACCAGGTTCAAACAACACCCCAGAGCTCCTGTGTGCACCTACAGCTTCCCACCCCTCTCCTCATGGGATGTACTGAGGGTCAAACCTTTCCCACCACGTTGGTGTGGGATTCCCCAGCAGTGACACGATCCTGAAGTCAGGATGTGTGTAGGAATTTGCAGGGAATATCACATCCCAGGAAAGGTTCAGGGGAGGTAATTCTGGGTGTGTGGTTCATGTCCCATTCAGAGATCAAACCCTGCAGGGGATGAGCTCTGTCCTGCTGTTTGTGAGAGGGAATGTTCAGGTGTGAGGGAGCCCAGGGGTGGGTGGGCAGCTGGAAAACTGAGGCCCCAGGGCTCAGCCTTCATCTCCTCCCTGCATTGTTGATTGTTTTAATAACACAGAGAGCACACACAAAGTCATTATCCTCCTGAAGGATGACTTGAGGTTGTTTCTAAACATCTGCTCAGAGCAGAGACCCGAGACTGTTCCCTCCTCCTGCTCCTCTGACTTCTCTTACCACCCTGTTGCCACTTCCCTGTTGGAAATGAGTTGGAAATGGAATTTGTTCATGAGTTCTGTGGCTCTGGGTAAGGATGGGATTGAGAACATTTGGCTGGTGAGGTTGGTGCAGTCCCCAGCAGAACCCAGGCAGTTCCTGCTCTGTGATCCTTCATCTCTGATCCTGCTGCTTCCCCACACGGATGTTTCCCAGCCCTGCTCTGTGTGTGCCCACATATTTCAGCCCAGCTAAAGCCACCTGAGACAGAAAACTGGAATGTTTGGGCAAGTAAAGCTTTTACCAAGTGGTGGGGCTTGAGGGGGAGAGAAATGGAGCTTAAAAGTTCTGTTTAAGAATAATCCTCTTCTCCCACTCTCCTCCCACTGCAGTTCCTGGTGCTTGTGACCTGTGTCAGCCCCATTTCTGGGCTGTTCCACCCTGCATTCCTTCACTCTCAATCCCATTTTATCTCCCATTTTGTCTTCCCCATCCTCCCTTCAGTGGAGCCTGTTAATCAGGTTGAGCTCTGTGGTGCTTTTAGTCGATGGGTTTCTGCGGGAGATAGATTTGGTCCAGTATTTTCATTTTTATTTAATGCAGAAATTCCCTCCATTAGCTCTGCCCTTTGGAATGGCTCAGTAATGGATGGTTTCTGGTGTGAGCAGCCAGTGCAGCTGAATTGCTGCACAGGCAACTTCCAGTTGAAATCTCCTTTATTTTTATTCTCCTGTAAAAAGATCCTGAAGATTTTTATAGGACCAAGCAGACACCAGACCCTCCTTTCCCCCCATCCAATGGCTGCCTCAGACTTTGCTCGTGTCATCCCTGAAATCAGGGAGCAGAGGAGAGATTTTGGATCAACCAAAGGCTTGGAAAGGGCCAAGGCTGAAGTGAAAAATGCTGGGTGGTATCACAGCAACACACCTGGTGCCCCTTCCTTTCCTTTAGAGGTGAGAGCTCCCTTCTCCTGTCCCTTTTATTTGCCAGCTCAGACAGAACAGATGATCTCTGGGGAGTCGAGAGAGCACATTTTCAGCAACTTCATTTTTATGGTAATCCATTGGAAAAATAATCCTCTTCACGCATGGTACAATTGTATAAAGCTCTCATTTATAACTTACATGAAAATTAATCACCAGAGCTTTTTTGAATAAAGCTGTATCTGCACACAGCACGAGGGGAAGGAGAGAGGGAAGGCGAGACAGAGAGAAAAATGAGTCTGCACTTTATTGCCATGAAAGTTAAAGGGTTGCACTCGGAGAGAGGATTAATTTTGTGCCTGTGCAAACACCCTCGTGCATAAACATCACAGGGGAAGGGGCTGGGTTTGTCTGGGAGACTTTGGAGAAGGAAGGAAGGGAAGGAGGAGGATGCCAGGATGCTCCTGAGGAGCTCCAGGTGGGATCCCAGCCCTTTGCTGGGTGGGGGAATGGCAGCAGAAAGCCCCCCCAGGTTGGGCAGTGGGGTTGGGGGGGTGCTTTGGGAAGAGCTGGGGCTAAAAGGGCTCCCCAGGGGTTCTTCAGGGCAGAGCTGGGCTCCCCTCTCTGTTCCTTGCTGAGCTGGCAGAGCTTTCCCTCCATCACATAAATATATATGAATATATGTTCCCAATTTCTGATTTGCTTTTTGCTGCATTTTCATGCATGTAATTGGGATTGTCAGAGCACAAGGATAAAGCTCTGCTCCTCTCCACTTGTCTGCTAAACCAGTGTCTCTGCCTTGCCCCTGCTGGGAACAGAGTCAGGCTGAGAGAAAACTCAGGAGTGGCTGTTGAATAGGTGGATTTGCTCCAGAGAGCACCAGTTTTCTCCATAAAATCTGATATTCCAACAGTCTGCTGGACTGACTGGCATTGGACAACCTGTCCCTGGCTCACCTGGACATCCTGCTGTGCTCTCCTCCTGACAGAGCTGTGCCTAAAATTGGTTCTTCCAAAATGAATGAAGGGGGTGAGGTGCTTCAGGCAGCCCTGGCCCCACAGGGGAGCTGCTGGTGGCAGCTCCAGGCTGTCCCCCCACCCCGGGTCACCCCCTGGCAGCATCTCCCTGGCTCCAGGGACTCCAGCCCTGGGTTTTTCCAGCAGTTCTGGCTCACTGGGCCCCTTCTGCCTGAGCACAAACGTCCCCAGACCGAGGCAGCCGTGGAGAACAGCTCTGCACCATCCATCCTGATTTCCCTCCAACCTGCCTTTGCCTTTCTCTTTGCTCAAGGTCTCTGCTGGGTGGATTTATGAGTCAGCTCTTCAGGTTTCTCCCAGGTTCTGTGGGCTTCATTTTGTGGCTTTTTACCCCCCCCTCACCCTTTTATGGTTCTACCTGATTTATTTATGTTTGCCCCGGATAAATGGGAAAGCAGCCAAGTGAATTCTTCCTCGTTTCCCTCCGTGGACTGTCAGGGTTTTAAGCACAGTATCTGCTGGTTTTATTTTATATTTTCTCCATTTATAGGTTTCTGGCCCCGCTTCACACTGGGATGGCTCAAGTTGCCTGGTTTTGTTGTGTCAGAGGGTCTTTCCCACAGTGATAACGGGGCAATCACAAACAGGGGCAATTCAGTGCCTCCTCTTCACGTGGCATTTGAAGTGCAGGAGTGGAAGGGACTGATCCCTGATCCATCACCTGCATCCCCAGGGAGGTGATCGTGGCCCCAAACCTGCCAGAAATCAAGGACTGTTTGGACAAGGCTCCCAGTGACAGGGTGGGATTGTTGGGGTGTCTGTGCAGGGCCAGGATTTGGACTTGGATGATCCTTGTGGGTCCCTTCCAGCTCAGGAGATTCCACGATTCCCTGATTCCAGCCTTTAGCTGGTGGCTCCCTCAGCCTTTCGTGTGTGGCAGCTGCTCATTGCAACGTCTGAGCCCTTTTGGTTGTAAAACCAACAGCATATCCTGGCCAGGGACATTTTCACATGTCCCACAACGGGCTTTTGGACCTTTACCTTGTTCCTGAAAACGCTTTTAGGAGAGATCAGTGACTTTGTGTGCTCAGGAGAGGACCCATTTTCAGAGCTGCTCAGGTTTCTCAGAAGGAAGGCTTCTCAAAACCTGGTTTCTCAGAACCCAGTTTCTCAGAGGATATTACTGTTCCTGACTGGGCTGGTTTTGGTTCATGGATGTGATTTATCAGGGAAGAACTGGGGTTGGCTGAAGGACCGACGCAGTTATTCCAGGCCGAGCTGTAGGTGAGGGAACACATTCCTTGTGGGCCAAACCACCTCAGGTTGGTACCCAGCACATTCCTGATCCTTCCAGAGCTGTCTGTGGTCTGACTCGTGGGGGGTTTTTTTGCCCCCCAGGCTCCATTTCATGGTTTTCCACACCGAGGAGTTCCACGACGTGCTGCGGATCTGGGACGGGCCTGTGGAGAAGGGGATCCTGCTGAGGGAGCTCAGCGGCTCGGGGCTCCCCGGGGACGTGCACAGCACCTTCAACTCCCTCATCCTGCAGTTCAACACCGACTTCTTCACCAGCAAGCAGGGCTTTGCCATCCAGTTCTCAGGTGGGCAGCCGGGAATGGGGAAGGGCCTGGGTTTGGAGCTGTGGGAGGACACGGAGGGCACTTGGAGAAGAGGAGATCGAGGGGAAACCTCAGTACAGTTCCAATGCCTGGGCAGGGGCAGAGGAGGGGCAGGGACTGAGCTCTGCTCTGGGGGGACCAGGGACAACACCCAGGGAATGTCCTGGAGCTGTGTCAGAGCAGGGTCAGGTTGGATCTCAGGATAAAGTGGGTGGTTGGCACTGCCCAGGCTCCCCAGGGCAGTGGGCACAGCCCCAAGGCTGCCAGAGCTCCAGGAGGGTTTGACTGATCCTCTGGGGCACAGGGTGGGACTCTTGGGGATGGTTCTGTGCAGGGCCAGGGTTGGACAGGATGATCCTTGTGGGTCCCTTCCAATTTTGTGCTTCCATGATCATCCTCCAGCCCTTTTACCCTGTGAGGGGGCACCTGAGGGACTCTGAGCTGGAGAAGCCCCCCTGGTACAGAAGGAGGTTGTGCCTGAGCCACTCAGCCTCCTGCACCTTGGCTGATCAGCACTGGCAGGGAGTGAAGCTCTGGGCTGGGGCAGGAGGAGAAATGGGCCCGTGCAGGGCTGAGGGTTGGACTGGATGCTCCTCGTGGGTCCCTCCCAGCTCAGCACATCCTGGGATTCTGTGATTCCCTCAGCACATCCAGCCCCAGCTTTGCTGAGCAGGGGTTTCAGGTCCCCCCAGAGTCGTGCTGGGAGGTGACATTGCAGTGAGCAGTGACAGGCCCTGTGTGTCCTCCAGCTCTGCCAGTGGAGTGCAGACTCTGCAAATAAGAGTTCAAACTCCAGTATTTTGTCCTCCACAGTGCTGACTTGGCAGGGAGAGAAGACACAAAAAGGAATTACAACTCTTTTCCACCACGTTGCCCCAGAGCTCTGGCAGCTCCACCCCTGCTGCTCTGAGAGCTGCTGGTCAGTGGGCTCTGAAAACCAAGCCTGGTTAAAACCCCCCCAAATTGGCTCCCCTGAGATGAGAGGCAGGTCACAAACAGCTCTGTTGGCTGGGGGGGTGCTGCAGTCTGAGCTCAGCCCTGCAAACACATTAATTCCAATTATATGGGGGTGACACATTCCAGCCTTCACAGGGGATTCCACGAGGCACCTTGTCCAGTAACCAACCTGCAGATGCTGATTTTGGAGCTGGTATTAAACAGGGAGGTGGGTTTGGTGACTGATGGTCTGACCTTCCTGGCACTCAGACACATCCAAGCATTATCCTGCCTCTCCCAAGTTCTTCTCCATAGCTTTGTGTCCAGCCTGCCTTGATGGGGGAGCCAGACAGCAATCTGGGGGGAATTTCTCCTGGATTTTAGACCTTCTGGGATGACCAAGGCAGAGGGAGAGCTCTGTGTCACCCAGCACAGCTGGGCCATCCCCTATTTTTTTTATTTTGCCAGACTTGTGTCTCGTCCTGCTGGGCAGGACCAGCCTGGGCTGTGAACTTGCTTATCTTCAGCTGCACAGAAAGAGAGGGGATTTCCTCTGGCTCTTTTTTAGAGCAGCTTTCTCTAAACTGCCTGGGTGTAATGGACTCTCATCAACTTAGCAGGAAATAAGCTCTGCTCTGCTGCCTGATCTGGAGCTGGGCTTTATTGACCACTCCTGCTCCAAGCCTTTGTTCACCAGGTGTGACTAAGTAGCCAGCCCTAAGCCCAGGAGTGAACAATTTTTGGGATCTTATGAACTTTAATGAGGTGTAGAAGCTTGCAAAACTTCTTTACTGCAGGACTTTGCCCTGCTGGGCAGCAGCTGAGGTGCTGAGCTCAGGGAGCAGTGAAGTTGTGCTGCCTGTCCCCAGCTGGGAAGGAGCCCGGGGGGGACATCTCAGACCTCAAAGAGATGCAGCAGCAAGTCTGGGAGGGAAGCACGTGCCTTTCTGAAAGGTCAGGCTTGATGCTTCACAGGTTTTGAGGCTGCATTTCCTCACTGCTCAGGGAAAGTGAGAAGTGCTGGTGGATGAGTTGATTTTTGCAGCCCGTGCCTGACACAGAATCCTGCGAAGCTGCCACGGGAGATCAGTGGGTGTTTGGATCACTGAGTGAGCAGCAAACCTGCCCTCTGTGCAGTGCACTTGAACTTGCTGCTCCCCAGAGCCTTTGCCAGCTGCAGTGGCAGATGCTCAGAGCAAAGGAAAAGCCAGTTTTTGCGTGTGGGGAAACTCTGTGGGATAGTGGAGGAGGAGGAGGGATGGAGGAGAAGTCACAGCTTGGGGGTGTGTGTGAGGGCAGAATCTGAGTCCAGCTGCTGTAGGAAATAAATAGAGATATATTTATGTGCTCTAAGCCTTGCAGCAGATAAAGATGTCTAATATATATTGATTTACTCCTCAGTTTCCACTGCCACGTCCTGCAACGACCCGGGAATTCCCCAAAACGGGAGCCGGAGCGGGGACAGCAAGGAGGCAGGAGATTCCATCACCTTCCAGTGCAACCCGGGCTATGCCCTGCAAGGGGAGGCCCAGATCACCTGTGTGCAGGTGGAGAACAGGTTTTTCTGGCAGCCAGACCCTCCCTCCTGCACAGGTAAGGACACACAGCCACCTTCCCCCTGACTTCCCTGCCCGTTCCCATTCCCAGGCTCCTGGGCCTGGAGGCACCACCTGGTTCCAAGAGGGGCATTTCCAGGTGTGCTTGTCCCACAGAACTTTTTGGGAGTGTCTGGGACAATGAGGATCTAGTTCATGCTGGGAGCTCCCAGTGCAGTGGAAGGGATGATATTTAACCTGACAAGGCAAAATTAAGAGGCTTCTTTAAACCTCAGGTTGGTGGAGAGGACTGGGGCCGTGGGTGAATCATTTCTGCATGAGGAGACAGCAAACTCTGCCATGAGAAAGGGCTTTCTGACATTTTCTTTGAGCTCATAAAGGAATAAAAGAAGCTCCTAAAAGGGATTCTTTTTAATACATCCAAACCCAGTCATGCCAAGCACTCCAGAGCAATAAACACCAAATTTTCTGGCCAATTAAATGCCAGCCACAAATGACTTTACCTGTGACCTTCACTGCTGCTTGGGCACTGTTACCCCAAGCAAGAAAAACCAATTAATTCATTTTCTAACATCACACTTAATGCCCAGGGTCTGTGCTGCAGGAGGACTTGGGTTCTCAATGACTGTCTGGATGGAGTGTGGCACTTTCTCAGCCTCCCAGAGACAGTTCTTTTAATCTTCCCAGGCCTGTAACTAAATCATGGTGTTGGAGGTCGTGCCCATCTCTTCATTTTCCCGTGGGGTTTTCCCACCAGGAGCTGAACTCTGAGTCCTTTGCAGAGAAAAGCAGCCAGTGCCTTAATCTTGGAGTGAGATGAGTTCTCACAGGTCACCTCCTGTTTGACCTGGAGTCAGAAACTCCCTGAAGAAGCTGCAAACAACGTCCTGCTCCTTCCCTTCCTCAGTGACAAAGGGTTTGGAGGAACAATCAGTGGCCAAATACCAGTTTCACAGGAACTGGGGGGGGACAGGCTGCCTGGTTGGAGCTTGAGCTGGGAAAGGGTGTTAAATTTAAAGCTTGGATTTTACATATTTAGCATTTCAAATGGATTTTTCACATCTTTGCGCGACTTCCTCGGTCCCCGAACGACGTGGGCTGAGCAGGAACCTCGACTGAGGCAGCCCCAGGAGCTTTGGGGTATTTGAAGTTTGCATCCTGGCCAGCTCCAAACAGCAGTGGCTGGGATCATTTGCTGCTTTAAATCCTTTGGAGACCAGGGGGTGGGATTTTCAAAGGAATCAGGGGATGTTGAACACTCGTTTCCCTCGGGCTTTTCCAAAACGAGTCCTCACACTTCGGCTTCTTCTGGATTTTCCCCTGAGTGGGAGGGGAGAGCACCCTGGGGGTTAAGAGGAAGGTGAATGGACACAGAATAGGTGCTTGTGGTTCTTCCAAGGTGTTTGTGGGTGACCTTCAACCAAGTTCTTTGGTGTCTGTGCTGTGATTTCCTTGTCTATCCCAGAGGGATAACAGTGACTGGACTTGGGGCCTTGGAGGAAAGTCTCTGGTTTGATCTCCCCTGTGACCTTTTCAGACCAGCCTCACTGTGTTTCACCTGATGTCTGGAGGTTCTTGTGTATTTACAGGCTTTAGGAAAGCCCACAGGATAAAACCAGAAAAATATCAAAGCCCACACGTGCTCACTCCTCCGTGGAACATCCTTCCCAAATTCATTCCATCATTTTTGCCCCATCCCAGCTCATTTCCCACCCCTTTGCTGCCTTAGGCTGGTGTCAGACCCCCGAGTTTAACACAGACTGTCCTCCCCTCCCTCTCCCCCCCTCCCAAATCCGGGAGGATTGATCTGAGCACTGGGGGAATCTCAAAGCATTGACCCTCCTGGAGAGACTGCAGGAAGGCTGGCGGCAGAAAATCACTCCTGTTTGCCACGCTGCAAACACAAGCAGGCACTTCCAGCCTTAAAAAAGTAATAATTGATTTTTCAATCAGCTCAGCATTTAATGTGTTGGTAACTGGAATAAACATGAATGAGCCATTAGGCCCAGACAACATGTTTTCACTTGGTTAGCAGCAGGCTGGGGCTGGGAGCTGCCTAGAGGAATGCAACAGAAAAGCATAAAATAACCCTCTGTCCCTCTGGTTGCTCACTTACAGATCTCAGGAGGGTTGTGATGGCTCTCTGTGTGTGTGTCCCCTCTGGAATGACCTCTGGGAGAGCCACCACAACCTCCTGGAACACAGGACTGGGACTCCAACAATCCTGTGGAGCTCAGGATATTCCAGGATGTCTCAGTGTCAGCTGCCTCCCTGACCCCTCACCTGTCCACAGCTCCCTGCTTTGCCTTCCCTGCACCTCACCTGCTGGTTTTTCAGCCTCTGTGATACAAACCCTGCCTGTTCTCCCACAGCTCCCTGTGGAGGGATCCTGACGGGCCCCTCAGGGGTGATCCTGTCCCCCCAGTACCCCGAGCCCTACCCCCCAGGCAAGGAGTGTGACTGGAAGCTCACGGTGTCTCCAGACTATGTCATTGCCCTGGTGTTCAACATGTGAGTACCCAAGGGGGTGGGTCCCCTCTGGGGCTGTCCCTGGGCACGGGGAGGGGGCACCAGGGGCTGCAAGTCCCTCTGGGAAGGAGCCAAACCAAACCTGGTGGGATGGTCCCATATCCCTGGGCAGCCTGTTCCCAAGCATTAATCTGGGAACACTAAATTAACATCATATCTCAGCTGCAGCTCCTCTTTGACATGCACAGTTTTTATGTGCCAGAAGCATCCCCTCAGATCAGTTATTTTAACAGAACATCATTCTACCAAATATTGTTTTAGCCACCAAAAAAAACTAAAACTATGGGAGGAAGCATATTGGGTGGTGTAATTTTAATTCTGAAATACCTTGCTGAGAGGGCTAATTTAAATTTAACTGTGGTGCAGCACATGCACCTGTGGGATGGAGTCAGGAATGTCCTGTACTTTTGGGGCAGACTGTGGCTGTCCAGCCCATCAGGAGTTCTCCAGGGATGGAGCTCCTGCTCCAAGCACTCCTTTGGTTTTGCAGCTTCAGCCTGGAGCCTGGCTATGATTTCCTTCACATCTACGACGGCCCTGACTCCCTGAGCCCCCTGATTGGGAGCTTTTATGGCTCCCAGCTCCCCGAGAGGATCGAGAGCAGCAGCAACAGCCTGTTCCTGGCGTTCCGGAGCGACGCCTCCGTCAGCAACACCGGCTTTGTCATCGAGTACACAGGTGAGGGGGGGCACCTGGGCACACCTGGGGGCACCTGGGCACACCTGGCCACACCTGGGCACCCCTGGCCTGGCTCACTCAGCAAACACTGGCACCTTCCCCATGCTCTGACCAGGTTAAACCAAAGCTGGACTAAGTGGGAGAGGCTCGAGGCGCCTCTCTCCGGGAGTCATCCTGATTTTCTGCCACGACCAAAACACATTAAGAGGCATGTAGGGAAAAATGGGGAATTCTGGAGGCTGGAGAAATAGCCCTGGTGCATAGATAACATGAACACAGCTCAGACAGCAGCAGAAAAGGGCTGTGGGATCTGTCACAAGTGGCTGCTTTTTCTGTGGGACTTCCGTGAACAGAGGAGAAAGTCTTCACTTTTTTTCCTTTACACAAAATCAAGGGAGATTCCCAGAAAATATTCCTTTGTTGTCCAGGCTGTATTCTGTATGATATTTCCTGCTCCACACTGAAATCAAATAGTTCTGTCTCTGGTGAGCAGAAGATGCCACTTCACAGGATCACAGAATGGTTTGGGGTGGGAGGGACCTTAAAGCTCCTCCAGCCCAAGGTCCCCCTTGAGCCTCCTCTTCTCCAGCTCCTTGTGCTCCTGGTGCTCCAGCCCCTTCCCCAGCTCCATTCCCAGCTCTGGACATGCTCCAGCTCCTCAAAGGAGGTAGAGGAAGGAGAGAGGAAGTAAAACATTGTGGTGGCCTCAGCTGTCATGGTGAGAGAGAGGAGCGGTGTTTTGAGGGATCCCTGGATGTTTTTAGCTCTGGAATGAGCTGGGAAGTGACAGACCTGGCACTGCTGGTGGGGAGAGGGGGAAGGAGAAGGCGGCTTTGGCAGGTGCACCCCTTGTTTGTGCCTGGAGTAGGTGGAAGAAGGGAGTTGTTACGAGCTGGAGTAAAAACCTGCTCTGCAAAGCAGGATCTGATGAGTCAGAGCGGGGAGATGGAGCAAAAACTGGGGGATGGAAACAGAGCTGGAAAGAAATGATTCTCCCAGCCTGCTCTGGGCTGCAGGGACTGGTTTGGAGCATGGGGAGAACAGCTCCAGGTGTCCTGTGGAACTGGGCTTGGCCTCTAGTGCTGGAGAAGTGAGGGGTGACCCCAGGAGCACGTGGGGGTTTGGGCGAAGGGCACAGGAAGGAGTTTCCAGGCTGGGTCCTCCAAAGGGGGAGATTTCCTCACGCTTTTTAGTAACTCCTCTTTCTCTTACGGGCCAGAAGTGAAGAGGCATGAAATGGAAAGCAAATGAAGCAAAGCTGATTACTTTTCACCCTTCCAAAGGAATGGAAAACAAAAACAAAAACAAACCATCCCTGAGTCCGATTTGAAATTCGTGATTATTTCGCCAGAACTGTTTTGCCCATCCTGAGCTTATAAACATCCACTCAGCATTATTTATGGGTTATTTAAGGTGGAAACTCCCCACAGAAACGCTGTGCTGTAAAATTCCTTGCAAGGCAGGCTGTTTAACAACACCCAGCACTGCTTGAAACGCTCAGAGCCGGGTGATGCTGTTTGAAAATCAGCTCTGTCCTTACGGAAAAGGTGATCCATGGGCTTGGCAGGAGTTTTGGAGTGTGCTGGGCTCCTGGGGAGCTGGTGAGGATGCCCAGAGAAGCTGGGGCTGCCCCAGCCCTGGGAACATTCCAGGCCAGGTTCGTGGTGTAGGGAAACATTTCACATCCCTTTGTTCCCTGTTCACCTGGATCCCCAGTGGTGAAGGAATCCTTGGAGCTGATCCCATTTTTCACTGCAAGCAGAAAAACAAAAGCAAGGTCTGGGGGCTTTGCTGCTCTCTGTTTGTCCCTCCACACCTTCCCCAAATGCTAAAAGGCCACGATTTAATGCTTAAACACCTTCTAATTGTTCACAGACCCACAGCTCTCAGGAAAGCCCTCAGCTTTAATGAGCAATTTCCAAATGACAAAGGAGCAGGATTAATCAAAGCCCCTAATTATATTTCAGGCAGGGGGAAAAAAAAGGAAAAAAAAAAAGAAAAAAAAGGAAAAAAAAAAAGAAAAAAAAGGGGAAAAAAAAAGAAAAAAAAGGGAAAAAAAAACTTAGAAGAAGAGGGAAAGAAGTATCCAAGACCTGACAGCTCCATGGTCTTTACTGGAATTTTCATATGTAAATGGAGTTTTTAACTCTGCAGGGCAGAGTGAACAGGGAGAAAAATGTCTTCATTTTGTTTAAGTGCTTGTAATCATTTTGCCATAATTGCAGCCGTGCTGCACATCTGGAGAGTCACCCAGCTCACACATGGCACTGAATTCCCACGGTGAGAGCAGAGACAGCTCTTGGATCCAGGAGTGAGGGGTGCCAGGAGATGATGGGAACAGATGTGGCACATCTGAAACACGTTCCATGTTCAGTCTGGGTTTGTGTGTCCTGGTTTGCAAAGATCCTCCCAGCCTGTTCTTGTACAAGGAGAACCAGGAGAACTGAGGGAGCTGGGGGGGCTCAGCCTGGACAAAAGGAGGCTCAGGGGGGACCTTCTGGCTCTGCAACTCCCTGACAGGAGGGGGGAGCCGGGGGGGGTCGGGCTCTGCTCCCAGGGAACAGGGACAGGAGGTGAGGGAACGGCCTCCAGCTGTGCCAGGGGAGGGTCAGGTTGGACATCAGGAGGAATTTCTGCCTGGAAAGAGCTGTCAGGTGTTGGAAGGGGTTGCCCAGGGAGGTTTGGAGTCCCCAGCCCTGGAGGTGTCCCAGGAATGACTCAGTGCTCTGGGCTGGGGGACAAGGTGGGGGTTGGATCACAGGTTGAAGTCCATGGGCTGGGAGGGCTTTTCCAACCTCAGTGATTCTGGGAAATCAACACTTTGCCTCGTTGAGTGGATTTTGGGTACCTGTAAATATGTGGGTGAACTGAAACCTTCCTCCTTCCAGTGCTGGTTCTGGGCATCCCAGGAAGGTCTGGACCAGCCCGAGGCAGCCGAGCTCTGAGCTCTGCACGTGCTCCTGCCCTTCATGGTGTGCTTCAGCAGATCAAAAAAGCCAAAAAAAACCCGCAGAATGTAACTGACCGAAATTTTAGGGTAATTTTACGAGACCAGTGAAAGATCTTGGGAATTGTCTCCCCCAGAAAACCCCCGGGAGTCGTGCTTCGACCCGGGCTCCATCCGGAACGGCACCCGCGTGGGCTCCGACCTCAAGCTGGGATCCACCATCACCTACTACTGTGACGGGGGCTACGACATCCAGGGGGTCTCCACCCTCACCTGCATCATGGGAGGGGATGGAAAACCCACCTGGAACAAACCCCGCCCCACCTGCACAGGTAATTCCTGGGGTTGGAGGAAGGCGAGGAGGGAACGATCTGCCCAGTGCCAAACCTTTCATTGTTGTAGTCACAAACCTGATGTTGCTTTTGCAATTTTTTCAGGCTTTTAAACACCCCCCCAGGTCAGGGAGAGCTGATTTAAATGAGTTTATAAGAGGTTTCTTAAACCTTCTTTGGAGAGAGAGGGAACTGGCCACAGAGATCCTGTGCTCCTGGTGCAGGACAGGACTCAGGAAGCCACTTAAACATTTGCTAAAACCTGAGCCTTGCTAATCAAAACCCTTTCCTGAGCAGGGTCAGAGTTTAGGGAGAAAACAAGATATGTTATTTTCTTAAGGGGTTCTGTGGTTCTTCTGTTTTGTTTTCTGACTTAATGGTTTAAATGATGGGTTTGCAGTCAGAGCTTAATCCGAGAAGGGAATCCAGAGGCAGCTGTGAGTCTGTGCTGAGGGGAAGAAGGAAATCCCTGATTTTGGAAAGGGAGGGTGAAAAAAAGGGTGAAAAAAAAGCAGGGGCTCATCCTGCCAGGCCCTGAGCTGTGAGCCAGGTGGGGAGCAGTTATCCCACATTATCCTGCACCACACCTGGCACGGCTGGATAAGGAAATGTGAAGCCGGGATGAACTCGGGGCCTGGTTTTCCTTCATGGGAACTCACAGGGATCACCTGGAGCAGGGTGTGGATCGTGGCTGGGGGCACTGACTGGTGTTCCAGGCTCTGGGAATGACCCCTTGTTGCCTGTCCCTTGCAGCTCCCTGTGGGGGTCAGTACACGGGCTCCGACGGCGTCGTCCTGTCTCCGAATTACCCCCAAAACTACACCACTGGCCAGGCCTGCCTGTACTTCATCGTGGTGCCCAAGGACTATGGTATTGTATCCAAGTGCTTTTGGAATTCTGTCCTGCTCTGCAGCTCCTGCTTGCTTTGTTTGACAGGAAAAAAGCAGTGAAATAAGTGCATCTGGAAACGGGGATAAGGGAGGTTGGGAAACAAGTGGTGCTGTTGGATGCTGTTTGTTGTGGGTGGGTTTGTGGATGTGACTTAAGTGTCATTTTTATTTCTAAGTAACATGGAAAAAGCATGGAATGGTTTGGAAGGGACCTTAAAGATCCTCTCATTCCAAGCCATTGCCATGGGCAGGGGCACATAAATTAAATTCTAAAACTGGATACAAACCAGATCCATTTACAAGGACTGTCATTCTTTTTCTAGGCTTTGGTGCTGCTTAGTTTGGGTCAGAGCTTGAATACAAGGGTTAAGAATGTTCTAGAGCTGCTGGGGCAGCTGGCTGGGGGTTGGTAGTGGTTGATTTTCCTGTTTGAAGGGAATTTGAAGTCCTTAAAGAGCTCTGGCAGGTGAGGGGCTCTAAATGCTGTTCTTTGATGCTGCTCTCAGAGCATTGTATTGATCCCCACGGCCCTTCCAGCTGCTGGGGATTCCCTGTGCCAGGGTGGCAGAGTGGGAAATAAGGATTCTATGTCCAGAACTCGGTTAGAAACACTCAAATTCCCTGGAAGTGTCCCTGGAGCAGCCTGGTCCAGTGGAAGGTGTCCCTGCCCATGGAACGAGATGAGTTTTAAGGTTCCTCCCAACCCAAACCAGGCTGGGATTCCATGAATTCCTGTGTGCATCCAGGATCCACCTGAGCTCCTGATGAAGTACCAACACTGCTCTTACAGCTCTTGGATCTCTTTTCCTTGAGCTGGTCTTGGTGTTGTCTTAAAAACAAGAGTAACAAGAGGGCCAGACAGTCTGATCCCAGGGTGGGATGACAGGGAAATTAGTTCCTCTTCTCCACTTGCTCCCTTTCAACCTCCTCATTAAAAACGAGCAGGAAAACCATTAGCAGGGGATGTTCTGCATTTCCCAGCCCTGCCCTGCTCAGGTTCTGTGCCACAGGACTCAGGGAGGGGGAGAGGGGGGTGCTGCTGTCACTTTTCCAGTGTTCCTGACATCAAAGCTGGGCTGGAATGTTGCCTGGATGTGCAGGGAACAAGTGTCGTGGCCTGGTGGATGATGGATTTCACAGCAAGAGACCTCTCAGCTTGTGAATCTGCACTTAAGAGCTTGAAAAGGCAAAGCCAGGAGAGGAGACAAAGGGAGAAAAAAAAAGCTTCTAAGTGCAGATTTGTCAGGGAAAAAAAAACCCCGTTGTTATCCTGTGAAAAATAAAGATAAATAACTGAAGTCTCTTTGCTTCAGCTAAAAAAATGCTCTGATCGTTGCATTATTATTATTTTCTCCCTCGTATGAGCTCTGCCTGCTCCTGGCTATTTACTGTATGCAGGGAGAATAATAGTAATAATAATGATAACAACAACAACATAACAGTGATAACAACAACAATAATCATTTTTAAAAATCATGTGCTTTCCTCAGCAGGGTCAGAGTTCAGTGAAGGGTTGTTTTTTTTTCTCAGGGGTTCTGTGGTTGTTTGGTTGTTTTGTTTTGCTTTCTGTCTCAGTGGTTTAAATGACGGGTTTGCAGTCAGAGCTTAATTTGAGAAGGGAATCCAGAGGTAGCTGTCAATCTGTGGTGATGGGAAGAATGAAATCCCTTATAGTATAATAATAATGATGATGATAACGTGTAATAATAATAGTAATAACAGTGATAATAATAATGAGGATAATAATAATAATAAATAAATAAAAATACATCTCCTGTATGCAGTGAGACCAGAGGCCCCTCATTAGCAGGCTCTGTAAGCAGGTTTAGGACTGAATGTCAATAAAATCACAAATATCCTCTCTCCCAACCATCCACCCCGAGCAGAGAGATCCCACCTGGAAATCAAGTTCCTCAAGACAGGGATTGTTATTTTGTCCAGGTTTTGTGCCAATGCTTGACCCAAGGGGAGCCAGTTCCCTGACAGGGGCTCAATACAAACAATAAATAATAATTATGGCTTGGTGGAATTACTAAGCCCGTGTAGGGAGGGGGATGAGTCACAGATTCCCTCTTGAATCAGTGGGAAGGAGCCATGGCAGGAACACGGGGGAGGCTGGAGCTGCCTCTGTTGTGCCGTCTCTGGGGCTAAATAAAGGGTTCCCACCTTCCCAGGCTGTCAGTCAGGCCCTGTTTGTCTCTGCCTGGAATAAAAGCAGCTGAAACACGAGCCCAAACAGTTCAGTGTGTGCTGGGACAATAAATGGGGTCGTTTGGAGCAGTGGGGTTGTTGGGGTGTCCCGTGGAAGGGCAGGAGCTGGACCGGGGTGATCCTCAGGCGTCCCTTCCAGCTCAGGGTGATTCTGTGACTGGGAAAACACCTCCTGGCTGTGTGTGGGGTGCTGGGGGTGGCAGTGGGGACAGCAGAGGGACAGCAGAGGGACAGCAGAGGGACAGCAGAGGGACAGCAGCGTGGCTCATGCCCCCACCACTCCCTCTGTCCTCAGTGGTCTTCGGGCAGTTCGCCTTCTTCCAAACCGCGCTCAACGACGTCGTGGAGGTCCACGATGGCCCCAACCAGCACTCCAGGCTCCTCAGCTCCCTCTCAGGCTCTCACACAGGTAGGAAACACATCCCTGCTGCTGCTGCTGCTGTCCCTGGTGCTGCTGGGAAGAGCAGGTTCAAACCCCAGCCTGACACCGAGCGCCTGCTCTGTGCGTCCCGCTGCCGTCCCCATCTCCTGTCTGCCTTTCTCCCCACCCAGGTGAATCCTTGCCCTTGGCTACCACCAACGAGATCCTCATCAAATTTAGCTCCAAGGGTCAATCCACAGCCAAAGGTTTTCATTTTGTCTACCAAGGTGAGTAGAGTTGTGTTCCAGGTCGGGTCAATCCTGAGATAACAGCCAAAAATACGGGGATGTCCCAAAGTGTCCTGAGCTGCTTTTGGTGTCTGCGGGTCCTGAACAGGAAATATCCCAAGGGATTAATGTTATTTTGGGAGCAGTGATCTGGCAGGGCTGTCTGGCTGCTGTAGGTACTTTGTATTCAGACCTTTCATCCCCACTCAGCCTCAGCCCAGGATTAGAATCAGAACCATCTCACTGAGTCATGCCCTGAGTTACACGGGGAATTGGGAGATTTATCCCCCCAGCAATTTTTCCCAGTGGCACTTTAGCACATTTCTGGGTGTAAGCAGCTGAAATCTTGTCTGGCAGCTCTGAAATCCTCCCTCTCTGCGTGTCACAGGCTTAGGTCTCCTGCTGTCAAACTCTTGCCCCTTGATCCCTTCAGTAACAGCTTGTGTTGCACTGGGTGAGCCCCACTGAGGGATTTTATGGGAGTAAATAGACAGTGATGCACAGAACAGTGGGAAAACAGGAGGGATTTCTCACCCACGTGCTCTCTGGAGTTGTCTGTGGTAACCAAGCTTTTGCTGCAAGGTGGGGGCAGGCAACAGAGTGACCTGTGCCTTCCCTGGGGGTGAAGTGAAACATGGTTTGGATTTCAGAGTATCCAGAGATCTGTTCTCTGGAATTTCTGCCTAATTATTGTGAAACAAATGTGGTTCTGATTGTGATCTTTGAAGAGTTCAGCAAAGCAAAGGTTCTGATGAAACGCTCCGAGGGACAGGGAGGGATTGTTGGGGTGTCTGTGCAGGGCCAGGAGTTGGACTGGGTGGTCCTTGTGTTCCCTTCCTACTCAGGATATTCCATGATGCTGTCAGTGCTTTCCCTCCTCAGTGGTCACGTCTGGGCTCAGTTTGGGCTCAGTTTGGGCTCAGTTTGGGCTCAATTTGGGCTCAATTTGGACTCAGTTCGGGCTCAGTCTGGACTCAGTTTGGGTTCAGTTTGAACTGTTTGGGCTCAGTTCAGGCTCAGTTCGGGCTCAGTTCGGGCTCAGTCTGGACTCAGTCTGGACTCAGTCTGGACTCAGTTTGAACTCAGTTTGGACTCAGTTTGGACTCAGTTTGGACTCAGTTTGGACTCAGTTTGGACTGTTTGGGCTCAGTTTGGACTCAGTTCGGGCTCAGTTCAGGCTCAGTTCGGGCTCAGTTCAGGTTCAATTTGGGCTC